CTAAAAATTATTTTTAATTATTTTTATTATTGTATTAGTATATAAAAAATCTAATTAAGTTAATAATAATGGTAATAAAAATTAATATTGAAGTTAAAGAAAAGGTAGAAAACAAGAAGAACATCATTGGAGCACCGATTGTAGGAGGCAGTAGTCTGACTATAGACCATAGCTACCAACGATAATATGAAAGTATGAAACCATTTTTTTTTTTTAGAAAAAAAGGAATAGACAGTTTGTATTTTTGTCGATTTGTTTTTCTAAATATATATTTTTTCTTTTTTCTAAACAATTGATATGTATAAATATACAATAAAGAATAATTGGATTTAAAATTCTATTTACATTAATTTTAATAGACAAGACAAAATTTTAAATTTGAGGAATGTTTTGATTTGCATTCCCTTTACTAATTAGCAACTTCATTTTCAAGCTCCCACAGCCCATCAGACCATGTTGGTAACCCATCTCCACTGCCGTTCAAATCTTCTGCACCGCACCCAACTAACTTGACTACCCCAACCAACTTGTCGAAATCCCAACGGGCATTCTCATCATCAGATGCTTCCAGTGAATGCCTTATAAAATCCTCCTCACCTTTCAACAAATTAGAAGAAGAGGAAGAATAAATAGCGTAATTGTGGTCTTCCATAGTGGTAGTAGTCGTAACCCCATTGGTATCTGTGGTTGTTAAACTTAGAAAAAGACCTGGTAAAGATTCTGATGAGAGCCCTTACTGTAGGGTGGTTACTAGCTAGGGACGATAAATCTTCGATGGATTCATCTTCTTCGAATTCAAGCATAGAGAGCATGTGATCCAGTGCAACAAGAAGCTTCTAGGGGGTAAAAAACAGAAAGGGAAGATGAACATGGAAGAGTTTAGGACTTTTTTGTCTTTTCAATTAATTTTAGTTTTTTTTTTTTTTGAACAAATTCGCAAGGAGTTGGATTCGAACTATTATTCTGGAGGTAAGGCAATGCACTTATACGTGATCTGACGCTATTGAATCGAAGGCCCAAGTGCAATTTTAGTTTATTTTTAATTATTTTAATTTACTTAATTTACATATTAAGTGGGTATAAAATGCTATGTCACACTCAATAATGGCCACACGGTCTCCAGCTCAACAATGGATCCCACTCAAGTAGAGGACCATTAGTTTTTGACAGATTGATGATGTCATCAGTCAGATAAGAGTTTCTTTGCCACTGTCGTCTAGTTTAAGGGGTTGTTTGCCACTGATTGAGGTTCAGGGGCTCATTTGCCACTACTTGACAAGTTTATGGTGTTATTTGCATGATTTGCTGACGCAAAATGGGGAAATGGAAATGTTGGGAGTTGATGTTTGGTTAAATCCCCAATTTGGTCCCTAAACTATTGCATAAACCCCTAATTTGGTCTTTAAACTAAAAAAATCCCTGATTTAGTCCCTGAACTATTGTACGAACCCCCGATTTGGTCATTACTATTTACCAATTTGCCCCAAATTAGTCCTTCCGTACAAAAAAAAACTGACGTGTCTAGTATTTAATTATAAAAAATAGTAACTTAATGATAAAAAATATTAATTTAATAATCACGTATCACATTAATAACGAGACACGTCAATTGTTTTTATATAGAATGATCAACTTGGGGTAAATTGGTAAATAATAGAGACCAAATCGGGGATCTATACAATAGTTTAGGGACCAAATTAAGAATTTTTTTAGTTTAAGGACCAAATCAAGATCTATATAATAATTCAGGGACCAAATTGGAGATTTAACATTAATGTTTCCTTCGAAAGATTGGTGATAGATAATGTGAAGGAGTATTTTAGAACTGCCAGACTGTGTACCAGTAAGGTCACAAAAGGAAGGCCTGCAATGAGTCAGGTTGTTAAAATGTTGGCCGGTATTTCTACGTGAGTACGAAGATTCTATCTCTTTAATCATCTTTTAAAACTCATATTGTACTAACCATTACTAAGGCTGTAGAGATTTTTAGCCAATGAGAATTTCGACTAGGTGTTTCAGTGTCATTTATGTGGACATTATGAATTTATTATTTATATTCGCTTATTTATATAGACTAGTCTTCCAATTCCAAAAAAACGGATGTATATATACTTTTCATCTGAACATGTTTAGATCCATCTACAGGAATTTAGTCACACTAATTTAAATTTTTTTATTTATAATTAATGTTAAATATTTAAATTTCTATTATTTTTTTTTATTCAACAAATAAAAATTTATTATATGGAGCACAAGAGATACTCTTATCTATGTACATGTATTAAGCACCCACTGAGCTCAAAATCTAGCCAAACCAACAAGTATGTTTGAAAAAAATCAAACCCACTTTAACGTAATAAACAAACTGCTGTAACACATTAAACCAACAACCTTGATAGTCCTGCAGCAACAAGTTACAACGTCAGAGACCCCGCCCACACTAGCGAGCACTATTCTTCAAACACACCCGTGTTGCTGTTTAGTAAATTGCTTCAGCATTCTTTTGTGCCTTCTCACGGACAGAGCACACTGAACTGGATTCACCTGCCACTCAAACAAGGAAAAAACAGAGCCATTCACCTTATTCTTGATCCAAAAAAA